TAATAACTGTTATCAACATTATATAACACAAACCTCGCCATAAACTTCATCCATAACAATTACATCTTCGGCTGGTATGATTAATTCTGGGACATCAAGTATTGGTATATTGAAGTATGGCATCAAATTGGCTCTATCAGTATACCTGTTAAAATGATTTTCAATATAGCCAAGTTATTTTCATTTATCATTTTTAAAATTAATACTTACAGCATTCGTGCATTATTCCAATCCCATTCTTTTGGTTTCACCCAATCTCTTAACTTTTTATCCTCTTTTGTGTACTTGTCGAAATCTTAATATAATATAGATTTGTTGTAAATGATTTATTCAAATAAGGCAAAAATATATTAATAAAGAGATATTTACCTATTCTTTCAATATCTTCAACTACAACTTCAACCTCTCCACATTTTGACCAATCATAAACTAAAAGCTCAGCATGTACACTGAAAAAATTAATTGATTTACAATATTGATTTTTATAAATGCTTATGCTTAAGACAAATATAATTGTTTTTATTGAAAGTATTAAATAAAAAAAAGAATTTCTTTTGTGGTGTCTCAAGAAGCAGTTGTATCATGTAATTATTATATGTATACATAAAGAGTATTGTTCGAAAAGATATAACATCAATTAAAAAAGAAAGAGATATTAGAGAAGCTATATTTTTGCATACAACTTTATGTTATCTGCAGTGAGTCTTTCCTTGAGCAATGCCGAAAAGTCGGTATTCCCAAACAAAATTATATAACTTATTATATATACAATTACCAATTAATTCATAATTACTGATTAGTTTAATTGCTATTTACCAATTATGTATATTATATATGTTGTTTTTCATGCACTTTATATAGCATTATGTGAATATCCAATGATGTCATAAAAATATATCAAATCTTAATGAGTTAGTCATGGGTTGTGTTTTAAAAAAGTTTCTATTACAGTAAAAAGAATTTTAAATTTACCTTATTTCCTTCAAGAAGGATTGTTTATAAGCAGTTTCTAGGTCTTTCAAATACTTGTCAGTATAAACTTTGGAAGTAGATTCTGCTGGATCATTCCTGGCTTTTATTTTTTCTTGAACATCTTTAACAGGGCAATCCAAATACACAACAAGGTGAGGTTGCATCAATTCTGTGATTGTGTTGCCTCTTATTTCAAAATATGCTGAACGAGCTACACAACAAAAATAAAAGTATATAAAATAAATTACATTAAATCAACTATGATGTAGTTATATACATAAAAAAGTATATGAGAGGCACCTTAATATTAAAGTAATTGTCAATATATATACTTAGTTCTGTAATCAATTGTATAAACGCTTTATAAACTTGTTTGATACAATGCATTAAAAAGATTCATTAAAATAAGGTGTAGTAAAATACATAAGACTACATAAATGACTAACCTCCTGGCGAAACATAGCCATGCTTAGCCATGGTTTCTAGAAAAACAAAATCAGAGTAACAAGTTCTCTCTAAAATAACTCCTTGTCCAGTATTTAATAAATGGGCAAGAGCCGCAAGATATTGTTCATATCTGTAACAAAAAATTAGTATAGTATTTGAATATTATATATACACATATAATTAAAATATATGAATACATACTTTTTCATATATAACACAATTTGCATTGTTGCTACATTTCTATTATGCGGATCTTTATGAAATTTATCAAAATCAATGCTTTTACATGATTCAGGTAATTTATCATCAAGTTGTCTGAGATCATACCCGTATTCATTAATATAGTAGTGATCCATAGTAACCTAAACATGAAAAATATTCAACAAAAAGTGTGCAATTTACATATTCAAATAATGATAAAAATGAGGAAAAAAACTCACAGCTGGAAAGTATTTCATATCTAAATCTTCGGCCAAAGCTTTAGCAAATGCGGTTTTGCCAACAGCTGGTGGTCCTTCCACTGTAATAACCTGTAAAATATGAATTATAAATTTTCAAACTAAAAAAGAACAATTTTGGCTATACCTTTGTGTTATCATTGAATCTCTTAGTTGTGTAATCAAAAAACGCATTGATAAATCCGTATCCTTTCTTCTTATAGTCATAAGGAGGAAACCTTTCAATTGGATTTACAGATCTCATTTCCTTACCAGATACATTACAAACTGATGTCACAGTTAAATGTTTTGCACTTAAAAACTTTTTCGATTTCGGAATTAACCGACAAAATCCAAGTTGATAGATGTTTGCCATTTTCCTAAAAATACAATATTTACAGTACACAACAATGCCATGAAAAGCCTAGCACAGTTATATAATTTATAAAAGAAAATGTCAGTAAATTAACATTGCAAAAATTTATCATATAGGGATGTTTAAATACAAAGTTAATATTACATACGATTAAATAATGTATAGCTAAAATTTGCAAATGAAAATATTAAAATATAATAATATTGAACATTTCAGGTTAAAGACTACCTTATGACATAAGAAGGATCTGTCAAAATATTATTCGAAAACAGTGAAGGAAACCTAAATAAAATATACTATGAAGTTCACTTCATTGACAACTGGTTCTTGAAGTTTACGTTAAGGTTAATTAATATAAATTAAATTGATTATCGCAAAAATTAAAATAACCAAATAATTAAAACATATTTAGTACAATGACTTATTTTTTAAATCATTTTTATGATATGCTTTGATACATAGATAAAAGAAGAGTATGCATTGATAGTAAAAGAAATTGTCCGCCATTTTTTGGAGCTGTCAAATTACAGGCTTGCACGAAAAATTTTACGCGGCAGCAGGGCCGCATTTAAACTACTTTAAATATTTTGAACAAATACGTAAACTATTTTCAAAAGACTATTAAAATAATTGTACTTGCTCAGATATTACTAATATAAGTGTTTTTTAAGAATACACAACTAATAACTAATATCAAAATACATTTCATTTCCTGTTGTTCAATCACTAGACGATAATCGGTCGAGAGGTCTTTAAACAGGACTATAAGAGAACCCTAAACAATAATATGAGAAATGATGATACACACTTTTAACTTGTGCTTTTAAAATACTAATTAATAGTAAATTAAATAAAATAATATTTAATAATTGACATATAGATATTTTAAAGTGTAAATATCATATCTCTTATCTATGATAAAGGGCATGTTAAAGATTTCGTATTCTTGGTGCATCTATTTTTTTTAAACATATTCAATATACTAGCAACACTAATTAAATAATTAACTATATCGTTAGATGAAAGATACACAATGTTGATGATTATAAGTGAAAATTTAAAATAATTATGAAAAAATACGAAAAGTTTGAGTGCTTCGCAACAAATAATCATCTAATCATCTTCATCTAATGGTAAGTCTAATTTTAGTAATTCTGCAGGTGATTTACCTCGTATCGTGTCGACTTCATTAGTAGTTTCTTTTTTTTGTCCCAATGATCCAAGTAGAGAATTTATAATATAATTGTTAGTTTAATAAAAATATAGGAATAATGATAAATAGAAATAGCTTTTATGAATCTATTTTAAATAATACTATTTTATTTGATTATTGAAAAATAATGCAATAAATCAAACATTCAAGAGTTTAGACATTACAATTTAAATAATATATATCCAAGTTAACAATGAGTGTTAAAACGATAGTCAAGTATTATATGAATGTATGAATCATATACAAAAATTTTAGACTGGTCAATAATTTTAATAAATTTTATTTAAATAGTACCTACTACATAATAGGATAAAATGATATGGCCAAATGATAACATAATCACATAAAAGAGCCAGGTAAGTGCAGTAAACAATGCCAAATATCTATAATGAATATTTTTTAATAAATTTAATCCCGCAGCAAATTATTAACTATTCAACTATATTCAATAAAACTGAGGAATTTACTATTTATCCAATTAGTCAATGTTAGCTAATAATGTCACTACAATAGTAAGATTTTAATTTAAAAATAAAATTAAATGAATTATAATAGGTATAAAAGCTATAACAGAAATTGATAATAGGAAAGAATTTGATCCGGAGAAAATTATTATTAACATAAATATATAATAGTCAATTTATTTTTTTAATTTCAATTTTAGTTGCAACAGTTGATAAAACTACAAGTAACACTCGATAATTTAGCTTGAAAAACATTAAAAAATAATGTAATGTTTCTATTGAGACGCCGTCCATATAATGATAATAATAGTAATAATACCAGCAACAATAATAATAATAATAATAATAAAAATATAAATAATCGAAGAAATTGCTATAGAATGAATGAATAATACATTGAACTTTAAAGATCAAATAGTAAAACAAATAATAATAGTAATAAAATTAAAGAAATAATGAACACTTTCAAAGTATCTAATCGACTTTAATATGTTTTAATTTGAAACATATTCCAAAAATGTATGCTACAGACTACGAGATCGCTTTAGTATATATGAAGTGAAATGTTCGCAATAAAACAGCTATTTACATTTGATTAATTTGATTTTTTGGTTTGGTAAACACACATTTTTCTCATGAGATTGAATATGTAATTAGTTTATTTAATACAAATTTCTATATCAGAAATAATATTACAAATTCCACATATAAATCAACTGCACTATATTGGATGGAAAAAGTCATCGAAGATTTTATGATGAAGTATAATTATAAGTTAAAGTATTTAATGTATACATTTTTGAAACCAACTATAGCAATATTCGCATTTCGCGAAGCGGAAGACGTGATTTCAACAAAAGATATGAATGTGTAAACAACATATTTAAACCGCATAGCATTAAAAATAGTTTAAAAATTTAGAAATTTGTTATTAATGCACTGCAGTATTTCACCAAATATTATTGAAATAGCTCATTCAATTAAACACTGTGCATTCGTATAAATTCATGAATCCATTCAAATTGAGGATCAGTTGTTCGAAACTAATCAGATTGCAAGTCTAACTTTAAGACAAGAATTATGAAAAACGTTTTAGCCATATTATTATTTCTGTTCATATGTATTCACACTATAGTGTGTGAAGTGGAACAAAATAGCACGTCGGAAAAACGAATTAAAATTAAAAAAAGTGAAAATGCTGTCGAAGAACCAGTCACAGGTAATTCATAAGAATTTTACATAATCGCAGATTTATTTTTATATATTAATATACATTTATAATTTAAATTTCAAGAGTGAATTTTATTATTCTATGATGATTTTTGTTGAAAACAATATTTTTTTAGAGTTCTTAATAATAAAGGAATTTTTCACCTTAATGGTTCTGCTTATGTCTTCCAATTTCACGGACATTTTAAAAGGAAACAATTTTTTTACAAACGATTTTAAATATATTGAATTTAAAATTAGACAAAACATATTACATGATGATTCTTACAGTTTTTTATTTCATTTTATTAAACAAGATCAACGATTATATTGATATAGAATTACAGATGATAATCAGGCATAAAATGATAGAATTTCCGATAATCAACAGACGTAAATATAAATCAAAGAATCGGTTGAGAAAATAAATTGTAAATTTTAGTAATAGAATCTACTCACGAGGGTGAACATGTATTTTGTCGTATTTTCAAGCGTAGTTTCTGTTGCTTTTCGTTTATTGAGATTTTGATTACGAAAATATTCAGCGATAAGGTAAAAATTGAATTTTTTAAATGTTTAAATGTAAAGAATTTTTTAAATTTATTTATCATTAGTTCTTGAAGGAGGGGGCATCCCTATCTCCAAAAACGTGAAATTAAAAATATATTTTTTGAATTAAAAAGGAAGCCATTTATTTAAGAAATTTATTTTTATTTCTTTATAATATACATACATAAAAGTGTTGACAATGACTATTACCAAATTATAATTTTATAGAAATACCAAGTACAAAAAAGGTGAAAATGACTCAAAAGACAAAAATTAAAACAACTAAAGCTCCATCAACTGAACGTAAAGTAGAAGAGCAAATAAAGAAACTTCCAGGTGAAAACAATGAGTCGCCAATTCGAAAACTTTCTTTAGCTGTTCCTGAAATATCAACCAAAAAACCTTGGACCGCAAATAATTCAACTGTTGCTTCTAATATTACTAAAAGTAACGACACAAATTTAGCAGAAAAGAAGTTAGAGAAAAATTTTACTACACCATTTGTCGGTAATTGTTCTTCGTTAGGAATGGGTAAATGTAATATGACGGCTTCCGTGATAAATTCTACGGATTCTACAAATAATCCAAATCGAAGTAAAGGAATAGTTGTTGCTGAAATTGAAGTTGAAGATACAAACCAAACAATAAAGGTTATTGTACCAATTGAACGTGGCAAAAATGGTAAAAAATCCCATAATACCAAAGAAAATGCATTACATCAAGAATCAGAGGAGAATAAGGCGGGTTTTGTTAATGACCTCACAGAAATAGATGAAAATTCTATAACTAATTCAACAAGAGCAGCAGAACTCAAGAAAAGAAAGAAAATCTCGCAGAAAAAAGCTCCTACTAAAAGGAAGGTTAATAAGAAAAAAAATCCACCAAAACGAAAAGTTAAAAAAGAAATAAAAGTCAAAAGATCTAAGTCGCCTAACGCAGTTAACGATACATCTGCGCATTAAAGTAATGTAATATATTAGCAAAAATAGTAAATTCAATTTTTTTTATCTTAAATTTTAAAAGTTAATATAATTAGTGATTTTTATGTAATAAATAATTTATTTCCCCATGATTAAAAGCACAACTATGAAAATTTTTAAAAAAATGTTACTTTAGTAATAAAATTAGATTATACATCATCAAAATTTGAATGCTTATGGGCTTAGAATGAATTATTTAATTTCATATAAAATGCCATAATAATTTATAGTTAAACTGTTACAGTTATTATACTGTAAAACGATATCATTATATATAATTTATATCATATAATAATTAAAATTATAAAATACGTCATGTTTTTTATTATCTGAGTAATAAACTAGCGGCGTATGGCATCGTGTCTTAAGGCAAATTGTAACGAAACGTTTGAGAAATATTAAATGTTTCGGAATAGATTATTATAAATACTGTATCATTGTTTAATATTAATTAGAATTATATAAACTAAATTGCAAAGTTAAAATTATTTATTTAAAGTATATAAGTGAGCCTTAGAACTTTAGCAAGAATTAAAATTAAAATCTGAATTATTTTCGATATACAAAAGAAATTGCAATTGTTTTGTCAACACAAGCAGAAAGTTTTTTGAATCATTCGAATCGGATGCTTAGTTCTCTCCAAAACTGCAATTTTTAGTACATTTAGCTCCGCATCTTCGAAACGAGTGGACTTGCCTTTGCCAAAAACTAATCACCACTTCTTTCCATCATTATGAATAGAATGTTTATCAGATCATTCAAATTGGGATCCGTTCTCTCAAAAACTCGAATTCTATTTTCTGAAATCTTTGCTCTGTATCTCCGTAACAGCAGGACCTTCCTTGGCCAAAAAATAATTAGCACATCTCCCTATCATTAGGATAATATCCTATTGATTGATTGATTGATCCTTTAATAATATTTGGTTACTAGAGTCAGTTGCAGTTGCAACTCCAGCTATACGAAGTAGGATAACCATAGTACCGCGTTATATGAGAAGTGGCTGTATTTATATAAAGTGAAATGAAACTCTAACAAAATTTGTTGATAATTTTTATTCGGGTGACACGAATTATAAAGATATGAAATTTGTGAAAATTGCTAGTAATAATATCCAAATTCTGGAATTATTATTAACTAAGATCATAAGCTTTTCGTTTCGAGCTCATTCATGTCATCATTTTCTCAAACTTAAGGTTCATGTTTAACAAACAGAGAAAATGTAGATATGGATGAGAATAATATGAGTGCATGATTTGATATCATTTGTGAATGAACAATGAGATAATTTAATTATTATCGTTATTTGAAAAAATGTAGCGGAAATATTTACAATGCTTATCGTATATTCTAATAAATATTAATATTTGTAATATTTCTTAGATAAAATTAAGTAACAGTTTTATTCTCTAAGTAGTAATTTTAATAATTTGCATTATTAAAAATTTAATATATTTTACGAATTTCTTATTTATTAACTAATTGTAAGTATTAGCAATTTATTTAATTAGTTTTCCAAATCAATGTATCAATAACAACTTATGATGCTACCTCTCTTCATTTGTTAGTTATCACAATTGTATTAAAAGAGATGAAGCAATTAATAACCATGCTCAAGTTTAAAGTATTACTGTCAGTTAAAAGTTTCACTTATTACTGAAATTAATTTATAATAATAATTACTGTTGTGATTTTTTTACTAATCACACAAAAACTTTGCACTCATTTTATATAATAAAACATTTTATAGAACGTCGATAATTGATAAAAATGATTTATAATGACTAGGTTTTAAAAGGTACTCATACATTAAAAATTATAACTTTTTATATAATTTTGTTCACTATTTTTATATAAGTTTGTATTTATCGTTGCTTAGTTTAGTCAAACCGTAATATTAAAAATTAGCAAATTCATGATATATTCGCATGATACTACAAGAGCGATGTGGCAAAGTATTTTTTCAATCGATTACATGAATATGCATTATTTGAGATCTATATAATCATCATTCAATCAAAGCAGTTTCTCAGAGATCACTCGTGCGAACATATAAAATAACTTAATCATAACAAGACAATAAATTCTTTTTTTTAGATTCTAAATATAATTTTTGTACACAACCCTAGAGCTCTGAAATAATTATATCACAAATAATAGAATTAAATTTACAACAAATAACACATTTTTGTACAACAGATCTTTGTAGAGAATGATGCAGGTAACACTATTCACACAAATTCAATATACCAGATGGTTTAATAAAACATTTTCTCCAAATATATTATAATGATTAAATTTTGCGAGGCGAGCTTTCTCTAACATTTTCTTTAAACAATTTCTTATTAAGTTTAATAGTTTATATAGAATAGATACAATTGATTTTGGTGTACTCTATATATAGGGTAGGACGGGGCACAAAAGTCCAATTTGGCTTTGAGCAATTATACTGTGAAAACCAAACCAACAAATAACAATATATCAAACAAACAACTATCAGACTGCGTTCAGTAAAACTCTCAGCTAATTCATTAATCAATGTAAAAATTTTTTGCTGTTTTTTTTTTTAATTTGTCACCTATTTTTTTGTCTCATAGGCGGTGTAAATTGGGACGTCCAAGAGGCAAACAAATCTAATATCTTATTTTTAATGTTGAAGAGATTTTACGAAACAATAGCTACATTATTCAACCAATGAAAAATATAAATTTTATTACTACACAGTGATAACATTGTATAGAGCCATGATCTGGTATTTTGTCAGAAATATTCATCAGCAGAATTGGAAGAACTATTTATTTAATTTATCTTCTGCATAATTGCTTTCCTTAACTCAATCTACTTTTTTAACGCTCAACTTTGTCAGAGTGAAGGTTTAGTTCGTTATTTTTACCTCACCCACGTATAAACTTTTATGAAGGTTATATAAAAAAAATCCAACTTAAAATCAACAATACATTTTACAATACAATTAAATAACGTATATCAAAAAATTATATTAAGGTCTCACAAACTTAGAAAATAAATACTTTTATTATGGAATTTCAAACGTTGCCGTTTATCGCCCATATAGCAAAGTCGTAAGAATCAAGGTGATGACTGGTTCTCATCTTTTGCCCTCTACTTTCAAATATTGTTGTTAACAATTTCTTAACTTTACTTGTTTTTGATATATCGGTGATGGACCTTTTTACCCGCGGACTTTTGAGCCCCGGTCTACCCTTTACACGTATAAGCAATACAATATGCATTGCCAATTTAACAAATTCCGAAATCAATTTTGCAATTCATTTTGGATTGAAATTTTTGAAAATAAAATACAGTTAATTTTAACATTAATTAATAATTGTCTCGATCATACAATTAAACTATTTTTAAATTAATTTAAGTAACTTTGTAATATTTAAGAAAAATTGTGCATTATTCTATGCTTTATAAATTACGTTGTAAAATACTAACAGAATTGTTAAATAAGTCAAATTTGGCTTCATTTCGAGCATTGAGTTAAAAAAATAATTGTACACAAATTATATTATCTTTTGAAATTATGAATTTAGTAATTTCCTTAGTTTCATCAATGTTTCTAGTACTGTAAGCAACATTATTTTTTATTAGTAAGAAATATAAATGTATTGAATTCTTTTAATTCATTCGATAATTTTAATCAGATTATTTTTTAGATCGGGTTTGGCGAAGTAAACCATAAAAGTATTGAATTCCTGAATAATGTATTTGCTTCAACTTTGAATTTTGGTTAAGAGTAACCTATTCAAATTATTAAATAATTATATTTTTTATATTCTGCAATATTCAATAATCATACACATATATACAAAAATTGTATATATAAGCAACCTACCTGTAATTAATATTATAGTTCTCATATCCGTCGAGACGTGGATATGAAATTAAAATATTCATATCAAATGTTCATTTTAATGTCAACACGAAAACATAGATTAGAAAGAATGCACATACCAAATTATCAGATACTATCATACAATTATTTTAATGAAAATATTAATCGTACATGCTAACTTATGAAAATATATTGTCACGTAAATCGGTGCGTTGAATAGCATGAAATTATTTTTCTATATATATTTTTATGTACAAAAGGTCATAGTGTGTTTATTATTTATTCAAATATATTGAATTTCAATTCAGATAAATGATTTATAATATCCTTCTATTATATATTCTACAGACGGAATACAAGGCGTCAAACTGAAAATCTATAGCTTCGCACTAATATTCAAATTGGGCAGTTTCCTCGCGAAATGAGTTTTTTTCACCGTTCATATTGCATATGCAATTATTTATGCTCACAAATTATACGCTCTTATTAATTCTTAAAGATATAACGACGGACATAATATTACTTAAAAGCTATTTATAAGATCTTATTGTAATTTATGAAATTATGTATCTAAAATTAAATCTAATAAGCCCACGATACATAAGTAACTGGTTGCAATAAAAACGGATCCTATTTATTTTCAAATCATCTAAAGATAGATCTTGATTTTGTATTGTATATTAATATTTCTATTTATTTATAATAATGTATGTATACAATAGATAAGCTTTGAAGGATTTCAAAATTACTACTTTTATTTGTTATATAAAGCTGGTAGTGCGTAATACTATAATAAACTTCTATGCTTCAAATGACTTGAAATGATGTATTTAGATTGAGTGGCGCGACACTATCACTAACGGCATATTATTTTGCATTTGTATAATTTAGTTAAATATGCATATATCAAAATGATGGACAGCTTATTTTTTTAAAGTGCTGTTAAAATGATCATTAATCATAGTTTTATGTTCGATTGAATTAATTAAACTTAGGGGCCAATCCTGCGGTAAAATGGACAATAACATAGCGTTGTTATGGCAACGCTATCTCATCCTTCTTTCTTGGTACTAAAATGTGTGAAAATGCTACTTATTTGCTGTGCATTTATAACATATGATTTTATGTGTAATTTGCCTGATCGTACAGCAAATAGACAGCAATTTCACAGATTGTTGAACACCAGTTTTTTAGGATAATTTAGGATTGTCATAACAATGCTTTGTTATCGTCTATTGTACCGCTGAATTGGCCTCTTAATTGAATCAAAAACATATTCATTTCGTAGGTTATCTAATTTTAAGTAAATATGATATTCAAATAGGTATAAAATAATCAAAAATTAAATTTAACATATCTATATGTAAAAGTATTAGGTTGGCAACAAAGATAGTGGCACTTACAGCTTGGATGGTTTCAATCGTTTCAATTTAATTTTAAGGTTTGCTTAGGTCCAAATACCTATACCAAGGTTTGCTTACGTCTATTATTAGTACCTAGTAAGCAGTTTAGATGTCCATCAGTATAAAAGAGTTTTTTGATCAATTGCATAGTTTTCGTTTGGCGTTCGTTGAAAGATGGACGATAAATTCAAAAATGTTTGTCATATTTTCTTTTTTTATATCTTCAAAGGTAAAAAGGCATCTTAAGCTCATAAAAAGTTATGAACTATTTATGGTAACGAAGCCTTACAGAAACAGTAGTGTCAAAATTGATTTGCCAAATTTGGTTCTCGTGATTTCTCACTCAAAGATGTAACATGATCTGGGTAACTAGTTGGAGTTGATTATAAAAACATTGTCTACTCTCGCACTTTTCACTCAACCGAAAGTCCAATTCTGATGTCTACATTGAACAACTAACAAAATCAAACCACACAGTCGAAGAAATGCGGCCTAAAATGACCAATTGAAATAGTGATTGATCCATCACATATCTTTGACCACCCGGAAAAAATTATTGGAGCTTTCTTAGAATATTTTGCAATATCCACCATACAGTCCTGACTTTGCACCTTCTGATTACTTTTTGTTTCGATTTTCACAACACTCTTTGAATAGTATACAATTCAGTGATTATGATGGTGCCAAATTGTACCTGATTTAATTAAAGTTGCTAATAAAAACTAGAAGTTTTATGAAAATGGTGTAATGATGCTACTTGAAAGATAACCAAAAGTGAGTGATCAAAATGGACAATACATTTACATACACCATAAAGTTATTTAGTTCCATGATAAAAATATCTTTGATTTACCATAAAAATCCGGACTTACTTAGTTGCCAACCTAATATTATAGTATTTTTACGCATAATTTTCACTAACTTATTTAAATTCTGCATCGGCTAACAATTGTTACTCTTTTGTTGGTAATCAACAACTATCAGTACGATTCATGTATCACAATAGGTTTTACTAAATAAAACAAATAATATTAAATATTTTATAATAATTGTATCCATTTAATTAAACCTACTGCCAGACATAAATATATTTAAAACTAGACTCTGTTCTAGATATAAAGTATTGTGCTCACCATTCTTCCTACATATTTTTGACTTCCAGTGCGTCACTCATCTAAAACATACTACCTTTTCGCATACACCTGGCGCCGCCTCTACCACCCATGATCGCACCACTTGACACGGACCTATTTATGACCTCGCGCTCTCTTATGCGCCTTAGCACATCGCTGGCGCTCGATCTACGCGCGTGGCTCGGGATGACCGCCGGGCTCAAAGCACCACTACCAGACGTATCCATTGCTTCTAAACGAGAGCTGGCTGAACGCGACTTCGAAATGGCGGTGTTCGAATCCCGTATATTTGCATCTGGTGTTGGAACAATTACGATATCCGGAGCAGCCGGCGTAGGTTTCGTTGTCCTTGCGAACGCAAGTGATACTAATGTTTCACTAAGTCGACGTAGACTCAAAATCACAGAAGGACGTCGGGATTGCGATGCTGAACCAATAGGCGGCGGAGATGCGCAAGGAGTTGCTTCACATTCGGATTCAGTGATGGGAGTTGAGCTGGCTGAACCGCTGATCATTGTGTAATCGATATTAACAAGGGCGCGTGGCTGAGAGTTCTGGTGTTGATGACTTCTCCCTAAAAGTTAGACATATCTAATAGTTGGATAGATTCATATATTGACTTAAATTACTTGGTTATGATGAATTATGCTTGGATGCTTTTACTAAAAATCAAATTTAATTTTGAGGTCATTATCATTCATTTCATTAACAACTAATACTACTAAATAACTAATTATATATAACTACTAATACTACTAAGTGAAATACGGACAAAATGGTATAAATTGACAAAATAACACAGTGGTATGTAAAAAATAGTCTTGTTTTAGTAATGATTCCGCAACTGTTTAACATGAAAAAGGCATATTAGAATCCTGTCAGACATTGACCGTTATTGTCATAGTCCTATCGTAGTAATGAGTTCAAACGTTAGTTTCAAACATTAGCTTCTCATGTTTTTGAGGACTTTCTTATCATTCATTGTAATTATTTCTATAAAAATCAATGAGCTCATGCACCAGCAGATAGATATTTCAAATACGCATATTTCGTTCATATATATCATGACCCTATCTTGAAAAGTTTCCGAGTTATAGGCGTTTATCCGTTAGAAACTCAAAAATTTGAAAGAGTTTGTGGCGAATATCTCGGGAACGGTGAAAGATATCATAAAAATTCTTGTACTGGATTAAAGACCTTTTAATTTAGAGTATTGAATCTTAAGACATCAAAGTGCTATCATGTATAGTTTGCAAGTTATAACCGTCTAAAGATTTCATATGTAAAAAATGCCCAAAAATGGCCAAAAAAAAGTTAGTTTTATTAATTTTTCACAGACTTCCCGGGCACGTAAAAGCTTCAATTAAACATCAAGTGAATTGCCACGTGGGCTAGAATAACGTGAAAAAACTGCATTTTAATATTCTCAACGGTTGTCGAATAAATCGAAAAAAACTGAAGATTGATATATTTTATATTGATCAATTTTATCAATCGTTAATGGCATTTTGAAAATTAATAATTTTTGTTAACTTTCGAACAAAATGGAACACTTATACAATGGACAAAATGACATAGTACTAGTTCGTTATCACTACAGGATAGTTCATTCGAGATCATGAAAAAGGAAAAATAAAATCTGTCAAAGGTTATTGGCCTTTCATTTCTACTCTAACTACTTCTAAAAATAGACCAAAAGATCCACAGGTAAAAAAAAGACTTGCATTTTTTGCAAAAGATCATGAGCTCGAGAAAAGTTGCTTGTTAACCTTCGTTGGCCGAAGTCCCAAGAAGAACCAAAAGAATTATTTGTGAACTAACTTCTTAAAAATTAGTATCTCAGTAGGTTCTTACTTTATATGTCATTTTGTCCGTACTTTACAGACAAAATGATTTTTGTAATTAGTTGCAATTTTTCTAAATAAAGATGTTATTATAGTTCCTAATTGATTAAAAAATTATACTAATAGTAGTCATAGTCAATGAATCTATTATGAGCATATTATGAGCAAAAACTATAGAGACTACCTGTAACATCATTAAATAAATAAATATTATTACAAAACAGAACACCATGTCACTTTGTCCATATTCATTAACAACTAACATTCAAGATATCAGTTAAAAATATGCATTGGATTACATACTATGCCTACGCGTGTGCCCCGCAGGTCACTGAATTTCACAAAATGCGACTTTATCTTTATCTTCACTGCATACTTCATCTAAATCTTTTGGGCTATCGGCCCCAGCCCCTCCTGTGCCACTGTAGATAGATTTTGATAAGCGAAAATAAAAATTATCTTTATAAATGAGCACAATATACAGATGTATAATGAAAGTAAAATAGTTGAATAACATTACATTGTATATTTAAGTACTAATTCAAATTCAAAACTAAGTTACTACTACTAACTAATTTTGCTAAGTAAAATCTTTTTTATAGTAAGTTTAATCGTACCTGGGTGGCCCAGCGGGGCCGGCGCTTTGTCACCGCAACGCCATAGTAGATATGGGTGGTGGTCGTACGGGTTTATTGTCCAACAAACGTTCCAATTCCAACATCACCGCTCCACTTAGCCGGGGGAGCAATTGGAGTGCTTGGAGCGATTCGTGCAATTGCTCCGGGCAACTCGCTCCGAGGAGCAGGCACTGGACTGCCTCATGTTTTAAACTCCACGCCACAGATAATTGCGTAGGCGTGCAACCTGATCAAGATTGAAAGACATGTTATTTCTCAGTTTATTTATTAATAATAAGGTATGGATAATGGGGCACTCTAGTGAAAGGCAAGCCAATAAGCAGCATGATAGTAACAAGGCAGACCGTGCATTAAACTTTAGACACTAGTACCTACTGATAATTTCATAATTACTGACAGTTTTAGTTTTAGGTGCTAGTGCAAATGCTATATGTTACTATTATATTATTGCAATATATATTATTATTAATATACAATATGATTGTTATTCAAATTCTTCATATATATTAATGATGATATCAAATTATTTATCGAAACTCAAGAAAATATGAAATTGTTTTAAAGCAGACAGGTCAGACATAAGGCCCGCAGGCCACATCTGGCCCCTAGCCTGAAAAAAATCGGCCTGCGATTGCAAAAAAACATGTCCTTCAGAGCTTTTAGGCTTGTTTTAAATACTCGTTCTCTTAATTATGTTCCCGCCAAACACATTTATGCACGGAAAAATATTCATATTTACATTAGATATACTAATTTAATTATTCAAGAGGATATTCTAGTCTAGCTAGACAAGAAGGGTGGATTTCATGTTTTCATTTTTGAGAGGTTGTCTGTAAAAATTTCGAGTAAATCGGTCCAGTTGAAGTTGAAAAATCGAAAAATTTCGAGAAAAACGCGATTAAAGTTTCGCGGTGAAAGGAACAGAGGAAGATTATCGTGGCCAAACAGGAAACTATCTCCGAAAATAATTAAAATTTCTAGAGTTACTCTTGTACACATATTCTTGAACTTTAAATTTGAATAGTTAAACTTTAAAAACTTAAAAAAAAAACAATATTTTTCTAGCTTCCAGTTTACATAACTTTGATATAATTGTTAACAAACGTCATAAATATTTAACATATTTAAGTAAATAGGTAAAATTTTATAATAATTTAATTGTTTTAATAAGTCTTTAAAGTTTAAAGACTTATTCATTTTTACTTGATATTATGCCTTCGAAATTTTATTTATATACATATATACATGCATGAATATCCATTCTTATTAGCTAACTTAAGTTAACTAAATTATAAGCAATTATTAAAATAAGTATCACACTTTGATTTGTAATCTATAATCAAATTTGCTATAATCTTTCCAATAAGGTAGAAAGAAATTTTAGAAAACAGAAAAACAGAATATAAAAAAAATTTATTTAAATTTTTGAAACTAAACTTTTTACAAAAAACAACTAATTGAAACGAAAAAATCACAAATTATTTGTTAATAGATTAGTGATTCACTTACCAAGTTTTTCAGCTAAACACGAAATATCTTTTAATCTATCACTATGCTTCCTAGTTTCTTCGCCTCGTTCTTTCGTCCAACCGAAACCTTGAATATGATCCTAAAAATAATATTATTCAAATGAAATAAGTTGAGATTTTGAAAGTCACTATGCAATAGTTAGTTCACTTTAATTTAAACTTCATCAATTTGAATTTAACAGTGTATAGTAAGTTGCACATTGCGTGACTCAAACTAATATTAATTTTGTTTAATCGCTTCGAGAAGCCCCGATCGATATAGTAGCGGAGAGCAAAATAACTAACCATGCAAGTATGAGATATTACAAACTGCATGATCATTTTTCAAGCATAATATAAATTGGCTGATAAATGTATTGTTGATACAACTAAAGATTTTTTTTTATTGATAATAGGTTAAATAAAATAACATGAGAACGCTGCAGCATTAGAATTTAAAATAATTTTGCCTAGGGGTTAAATTGTGCAAATATCCCCGAATCCATGCAAAATTTCGATCTTGTCAGATTCAGTTTAATCAACAAGGATTAATTTAGAATCCGGAAGTGATCTGTTTGTATCAGCAACATGTATTCCAATTACGCGATGCGGGCAGGCCACCAAATGGATATTCACACATCAAATATCCATAGGCACATCATACACAATCAACATGCATACACACATTATACATAAATTACAAATACATTCTTGTAGCCATTACTAATTTGAGTATCACCGAAACATCGATTAACTTGTTGAAAAACGTTTATATGTTTGAATTCCATAAGCCTTATTCCATAAAACTATTGCATATTCCATTAAACTGAAGTATACTAAATTTCTGAATAAGCCTTTCGTAGCTTCACCTTCGCGTAGCAAGTTTGAATTATTTTGTTAGAATAAGAAAGTAAATTTTGAAAATTATCGACAATAACCATTACCCAATTCTTATTATTCATATCATTCATATTTCTCTAAAATAAAATTTCTCAAAAAATCATCTGACCCTTTTAGGCAATACTTTCTACAGCTTTCCAAAATAGCTGACCTGTCTTTCAAAAGAATCAATAAGTTCAGTGCATTGCCGATACAAATCAATGTTTGAATCATTTAAATCTAGCACATTTAATATAATTTTTATAGATATATGCAGATAAATTGCAGGATCTTAAAGCTGATGCATTGAAAAAAAATTATAATTTCAATAACTATATGAAATTTAAATAATATACTAAATGAGTGTACAAATCAAAGTTTATATATTTTATATTCATTAATATATTCATTCAAAGTTTGCTGATAAATCAATCTCATTTTATTATCACTAAAATATTGTAAAACTTGAAATTGCACAAATGATTCTCTAAATAATTGATGACATTTTATTGCGCGCAATATTTGTTATCATTATTATGCAACACGTTTAGTAGAGAGTAGAGAGGTCATTATTTTAATTAGAGTCATAATTAAATTAAATCTAGGCAACAATAGTTAAATAACAATGTTTAATCAAAGTATCTGAATACAATATGATAACGCAGACTTTATCGTAAATTTTGATATATATTTGCAAGTTTATATAAAAATAAAGCCGTTGTTGATTTTACAACATATAACATGTCAAAGGGATGTATCACACGAATATAAGCTTTTTATCATCAAATTAGAAAAATATTACTTAAATATATAATATTAACTTTGACTCAATTTTAATAAAATTAAAAAAAAATCATTTACTATCAACAATATGAACAAAAAAAGGTTCGATAAAAAAATATTAAAATGTTGATAAACGTAGGTACTTGAAAAATATAAGAAAAATATTCTAATGGTGCCCCAAATTTTATACATAATTTCAATAAAGTGTAAAGAAAGTATTTAGAACTTAGATACTCATTTCCTATGAAAAATAATATCCAAAAAAAGACTGTTACTTTTTAGATACCCTTAATAACTGTAAATATAAAAAACTTATAACGCAATATATAATTATGATGATCATATGTAAATTTGTAGTAAATTTTTAAGGTAACAAAACATTCGAGATTATTTGTAATTCACCATTTTACATAAATAAATAAAACGTATCTCACTGACCTCTTTATTTATAGCAGCGACTTCATCTTCGGTCCAACTAAATGAATTATATTTTGCTTTAAAACTGCCTCTTGATGTGAAGATTTGGGTATGCGGTTGTTCTCCTGTGGCGCCTGCTAGACCCATAGATAAAGGACCCCATACCATAAGGCCTACGCCCAATTTTATTGTATAATTCAGGGAGGTACAGTTCAGCCTTAAAAGGATGAAATAATAAACCTCTGAACAACAATATTCTTCTTTAATTCATATAGTTTTTATTTAAAAATTAGCCAAAGTTGAAATGAAGGGAGCCAATTCTGAACAATAACATAACATTCTTATGGTAACGCTATGTTATCCTCCTTTCTTGGTACTAAAAACTGTGTAAATATCTATCTAATTGCTGTGCGATCAGGCGTTCTACATATAGAACCGTATGTTATAAATGCGCATCCCAAAGATGCAGTTATGCTATGCGTTCATTCTTGGTTGTTTTAGATCTAAAATATACCTGATTGCACAGCAAATATATAGCTATTTCACAGTTTTTAGTACCGTTGCCATAACAACGCTATGTGAGAATGTTATCGTCTATTACACCCAGAATTGGCCTTATTATTAGTAAACTTCATTCCGTAATCACTCTTAAATTATTTTATTTATGAATAATAAATGATGCACATTTTTATTCATATTCTTAATTGTGTTCAATAAATTTTTTCATTATGTTTACAATACAGAAGAACCCAGTTTATTCGGACCTCAGTTATGCAAATTCGCGATTATCCGGACTACCAACCGCGACCAATGTATATGTATGTACATCCAACAATTAGAATTTTTGCATAATTAATGCTGCAGTTTAGTATTGTTAGTAGTGTTAATTTCTTAATAATAATTTTTGTTGATATCTATGTATGTATTTGTTATTTTAATAAATGCACAACATTTTTTTCATACATTCGATTATCCGGATTTTTCATTATCCGAATGCCATTATACCGGATAATCGAGTATCTACTGTATTGCATAATATATGAAAAATATTTCATCATACCTTTTCCCTACAAAACATGTGGTACTCCGTCTGCTCGACGATCGGCGTAACACAGTTGAATTGCCGACAATTCGTATATGCTTCCATAATCTGCAAAAATAATCCACAAGAGAGATTATTAGTCATTTAAGAATAAAATACAAAGGTTGTTTTCTATTACAACCCTAAGTCACCTCCACAGGAGTCCATCGCGCCGTTCCCCAATACATCGCCCATCCCTGGGAAATCACGTAGTGCATCGCTCGAACCACCTCTGAAGCAAAGATATATAGTACATTTTTATAATGTTATTAAAAATTTTACGAGACTATCTATAAAATTTGCATATATAATGTTTCATAGGGAAATTGAATAGCACGCGACATACAGTATATTGACTTACATACAAAGATATATCTTTGCAAAATATACACATACACATACACATACACACACACATACATATATATATATATATATATATATATATATATGTATAATTATTTATTATACTAGTACAATTTAATAAATATTAATTTTTTTAACCATATTATTAAGGAATTGAAGATTTCTTTATTTCATAAGTTCAAATATAAAATATATTAAAATATTGCACATGATTTTATTAAAAATATTTAACATTACATTTAAATTTTACGGGAATGTTTTTTTTCGATACCTTGAATTAATAAAATTAAAATAAAGAAAATAAATATAATACATTTAAAATAACACAGACGATTCTTGAATGTATTGCAGAAAACTAATATATAGGGTAGAGCGAGGTATTAAGGTCCAATTTAATTTCCAGTAATTACACTGTCAAAACCAAATGAACTACATCACAACGCATAACACGTATCAAATGAACAACTATCGAAACATATTCAACTGAAATTTCCAGTTGATCCTAATTGCAACAATGTGCTTCACTATTTTCCTAAAATTTTTCATCAGTCCCTTTTCATACCATAGTCGGAGTAAAAAGCGACTGCCAGAGGCAGACAATGTCTCATTTTTAACGGTAAAGAGATTTTACAAAATAACAGCTACATTATTTAGCCAATGCAAAATTCTAAATTCATGTGCACATTTTATACAAAGTTTACATTGTATATAACCTTGATCTGATATTTTCTCAGAAATATTTATCAGCAGAGTTGATAAATATTTCTGACTTAATTATAACAGAGCATTTCATTGATATATCTCTTGAAAAATTGCTTTTTCTAACTTAATATACATGTACAAGTTTCTTATTGTTCACATCTTTGCCAGTGTAAAGCTGTTGCTTTTATAGAGATTATTTAAATGAAACTGATGATTTTTATTAGATTTGATCTAAAAAGATCGATCGTTTATGAGTTCTTTCTATACATCTTTTACCTCACAACGTAATATAGAAATCTATACTTTGTGGTTATTGAGATAATGGTGATGGACTTTTTTACCCATGAATCTTTAATCTTTGCTCTACACTATATGTGATTTGAACTTTCTTTTATTTCACATTTGAAGTAAAGATTATATGATTTTATAATATGTTAATACATATAGAAAATTATATAAAATTTGTCTAAAACTAACAAAAGGATTGAAGACTTTAATATAAAATTGATAACGATTTGATGATTGCTTTTCTTGATAAAAATCAAATATAAAATATGCTTTTATTGAAAAATAATAAATGTTTCATTTTCATTAATATTGATAACAATTTGAAGATTGTTTTTCTTGATATAAATCAAATAAAAAATATGCTTAAAAATAATAAATGTTTCATGAAAAATATGAAGCCGAATTTATAAATAACTTGAAAAATGAAGTCGAATCTAGATCTTGCATTATTAAAATACAATTAAAAGAAGCAAAACAAAATTATTTATATATTACCAAGAGTTTTGAGCGAGTGTAAGAAAATGAAAATGATATATATGTATATATATATATATATATATTTATTTATTATACTTTCCATTTTTCTTTAGAAAATTATTTGTTATTATCATATATAAAACTCGTAGAAACTGATGTCAATTTTGTTCAGATATTTTTATGAATGTTTTCAATTTATTTTCGTATTTGCTTAGATTATATGATACATTATTCGTTGTGTTAATGGTAAGATTTTTCGTCTACTAAAAGCTAATAAAATAAATAGACATACATATATATATAAAACGTTTGCAACTATATAGAAAGCAGTAAAGAGTTTGGCTAAATCTGAATAACGTTTTGTAATGACAACGTGAGTATACAAATATATATTTACGAATATTGAAATATAATTGACATTAACTTAAAGTAAATAAATATTTTTATTTTAACTAATTTTATCTAATTGCTAAACTTTCAGAATGTTTGTAATATTAACTTGATTACTGTAACAAAAGTTTTTGATCGAGCGATCGAATTAGGTATTATATATGAACCAAATAGCAAAATATTACCTCGAATATAAATCAGCTTTAGTTTTAAATCTGCTTATGAAATACAACATTCTGTATTATAAATCGCCTTATAAAAATTCGTAATACCATACCTGGAAAGAGCTCCGAGATGTGCCTAGAATATATCAATATAGTTGTTTTTATGCTTAACTTAATAATTCACTGACCTTCCATGGGACACATGGGATCTGCCTTATGTACTATAACGACATCAATGTAGGGAAGTTGAAGGCGCTCTAAACTGGCTCGGACTGTTTCAACGATATGTTTCCTAGAGAGACCCCGCTCGTCTGACCTACATTTTTTATGAATATAAATATATAGTGCTTAGCATGTTATAATTTATTCGTGGAAAGCATGATCGAATCAAATTTGTTGATTATGCTCATTTCCATATACTACGTGCAATTTAACATAAGATTTAAATTGAATCTATAATATATTTTTATGTTTGAACAAAGTTAAATATTAATTTACTTTAAATAAAATGTGAAGTTAATTCATAATATCAAAATTTATATTAATTTTAGTACAATTAATATAATTGTAATAACTATTATCTAAAACATAAGTATAAAATTGATTGAATAATTTTTATCATGATTTTATGACATAAACTATTTGAAAATGTTAATGCAACTCGCAAAAACTAGCAGGAATACTCGACATAATGAATAAGAATTTAGCAACTTTAAAAATTATGTTTACATGGCCAATTGTAAACCAATTGTAAGCCAACTTAATTGAAACCAATATTTTAGAATTGAATCCCAGATCCCTAATATTTTAGGATGTTCGATAAGGTGATCATCATTATTATACAAATTTTCATAAAAATCGTCGATTTTTCCCCCCAATACGAAAATAAGAAGTAACAACCCAAATTATGTGATTCGAAAAGTTTTAAATCAGTTCAAATGACTTTTTTTAAATCATTGCAGGTACATCTATCCCCCGTTTTATACGTTTACGATCTTACACGAGTTTTGAAAATATTTTTTTCTAACAAAATTCATTAATTCTGCATTTACAATATTATAAACACTAATCTACAATTACATTTTCAATGTTTTACTGTCAAAATACAACACTACAAAATGTATGTTATAGATACAAATTTTTATTGTTGTATGATGGAAATATGTAGATAAGATGGAAACTTCCCGTTTTATGATCAAAATTAAATTTTGTGTGTGTATAACCTAGTTTATTTGAAACACCAAAACAAAAAGCATAATTTGTTTTAAACTTTGTTTTTAATTAGTGACAAAAAGGGCTTTTTTATAGTAATTTTCGTTTAGAACGGTTTTCCATATAAAAATAATTATTTTGAGTACAAGGTTTTTTATAGAGTCTTCAGTGTAAAACGGAGGATAAGTGTATTTTTGAAAAAAAAAACGCCTACAAAAATTTAATAAAATTAAAGAAGAATTATATAATTAAAAACAAACTAAAATATCATAAAATATTGAACTGATTACGGTATAATATTGTATTATTGTTACGGATACAATTGAAAACGAGTATCTTTAAATCATAAATATAAAATGTTAAATAGAGAAAAAAAAATAAAATAAATATTAAAAAAATTATATTACACATTTAGGATTTAAAACAATAAATCTTCATCTGTTGAACATTTTATTTTTTTATGTTAAAAGTTTTTTATATAATTAAATATTGATTAAACAAGGTGAAAAGGGTTTTGATAACATTAATAATAAAAAATACTAAAGTTCTACAAAAATAATATAAACACCTACTAATAGATTAAGATAGATTAATTAATATAATTATTTGAGTGCACATTAAGATATGAAATGAATTCTGTTCTATATCATAAATGTAATTTATATAGGAAATGAAAGTTTTCAATTGCGTATTTACTGAAGAATTAATGTTGAAACTTACTTCGTGCTCCAATATATTTTTGTTGTTACAATATAACTAGATCTCTTCCATCCTCTTCTTTGTAGAATTCTCCCGAGCTCTGTCTCCGCTCTACTTCCTGCAAAGGAACGATTCAATGAAAATTAAGCACAATATATATATATATATATACTCGTATATATATATATATATATATATATGTATGTATATGTATATATACTTCTAAAGTTGTATAAGAATAACTTAATAAACAAGAGAAATAAGTTACAAATAAGAAATGAATTCGGAATGAAATCAATGTTAGGTAACTTTTTAAAATAATACAATTTTATCAAACTCTAGGCTACTCGCTCTTGAGTGATATCTAAATCTTTCATACATTATCTTGTAAGACCAAACAGTGAGGCCAATTTTCCGGTAAAATAGTCCGTAACATAGCGTTGCCATAACAATGCGTTGTATAATTTCGCAACCTGTGACTTGCACGTGTATTATGTAGTGTATGTGGGATGTTTTTTGCGCAAAATGACAGACTTCTGAAGATATTTAAATTAGCCCTATAAACTCGTTGAATTATCTTCTGATTCTAGAAATTCATAAAAATTAACACAAAGATATATTTATCTTAACATTTCTTAGTTTACATGCTTGCTGACTTGAACATACACTTGAGTCGTCTGTAGGCACTGTGAAAATACCCCTGGTTGTGTATTTATACAGTTGCACATATATACAGTAACGTATATGGCCGGCTTTACACATAAAACCTAACTTCACAGATGCGTTATTAATGCACATCAGAAAAAAGCAGTTATAATAACATTCTTTTTTGGCGATTGTGCGTTTTATAGGTTAGGTTTTATATCTAGAACTTCTAACTGCACTGCAAATAATTAGTATTTTGACAGTTTTTACTACAATTTTATATAAAAAGCAGAGTAACAAGTTTAAACAGTCTTGCCATAACAACGCTATGTTACGGACTATTTTACTGGATAATTGGTCCCTGTATCTAATTTTTATTTAAGAAAATTCTAAAACAATAAAATTTTAAATAAAATGTAAATCCATAGTTTAGTAACTTTAAGTACTAATACAATAGGTATATAATAGTATTTATTTTGATTGATATTTATAATATCAATGAAAAAATTTTGTTAGATTAGATTAAGGGATTAGTTTATTAATTTTAATATTCCATTATATACCACGTCTTTAGTAAAACTAGGTCATTGCAACACATTAATATTATATTTTGTAACACTATTTTTTCATGTACGAGACGTATGTACATCTACATATGTATGCACTAAAAAGCTCTTAACAAGACGTACATCTTTTACATCCATCCATATTAGAAAGAAAAACTAAATTATATTTCTAAAAATATTTTTAATAGAATAACATTTTATATTCCACTTTTGCTCTTCCATAGTGGAAAAATCATACAAATTATTTAAAACTAAAACCTCTGATTGTTTCACAGTTGAAGTTAAAAATTCCTTTCACAACAGAAGAGATCCGAATATTTTGTTGTGCAGATAATTCAATTTATCTTATACAAATTAGACCGTCACATTTGACATAGCTTAAACAAAAGTTATTAATGAAACAAAAATATTAACCAGTTAATCACAAATATTAATCGTATAACGCTCACACCGCAGTTCCAAAGGCAAAAGTAAACCGCAGAACAAATTAAAATTTCATTACATAAAACTCTAGTTCGTTAACAGATAGACAGATTTAATTTGCTCGTCGTCAGTTATACTTTATAGTTTTTGTTGGTTGTTGGTTTTAGGTCGTCTCTCACCTGAGTGCGCTTCCGACAGATCAAATAGATTTATTCCACTATCCACCGCAAGCCGCACAATTTGTTCGGCTTGTTCCTCGGTGACGCCCGGGGCGAAAGTTGGCCATGTACCTGTAATTCGATCATTTACATATGTATTAGGACCTACTGCCGAAATAAATTTAATGCCCACATGTTGGGGGTAAATGACATGCATTTTCAATTACATTACGAAACACGATATATTTAGTTTTGTATTACATCACACCTATTTTATAACGTTTATGTCTAATGACGAATATTTTTGAATCAAAATTATAATATAAATTATACTACTCTTTATTATTTCCACTTTTTGACTAGTAATTATGTCAATTATCGAAGTCAGTTAAAATTGAATTGATTGAAAATATTTTAATAGGGATTGTCTGTTAATGTAGAACATAACTAATAGATAGCAAACAAGTATGTATTAATCTACAAGCAACGTTTCTTACCTAGAATTATTTATTATAATTACTTTTATCGAAGTGGATTATATAATTGGATTCAGATGCAACTCAAATTTAAAAAGGCTAATTAGATTTGAATTGAAATTGCACGAGCTTTGAATTATAAATAATAATTTAAAACTTGTGCCATTTGAACAATAAGACAATTTAAAAAATTAAAGTATAGTAGATATATTTAACATTATATCAAACATTGATTTAACATTTATGTCCAATTGTGTTCTAACATTAGTAAGTTTGAGTTGTAGTTAGTATCAGTTATATAACCTTTCAAAATTTTTCATTCGGCAATAGCATCCAATACATACGATGTTTAAAGTTATCATGAGGATTCAGATATGGGGGAGTCCATCAATCACGTAAGCGAGTTTTTAAAGATTTTTGACCCCCCTCCCCCTTGGTGATACATGTTTGATATTCAAAATTAATCTTCTCCTCCCCCACCAAACATCACGTGTGTTTTTATTTATGTGAAAAAACTGTAAATTTTTTTAATAAAGTAAATTTTGTTTGAAAATGTTAGATTTTTTTCAAAAAAATCAGTTAAAAAATAAATACACGTGATATCTTACTATACCCCTCCCTCCCCAACGTGATATCTCGTGATTTTTCCACTGTGATTAAAAACCTCACGTGATTAACGGACGCTCCCTAATTTTAATCTAAAAATTGTAATATTGAACAATTTTATATGCCTCTATATATATTATCAATTTACTTTGTACAGTATTTCATTTTTGTCATTAATTTTAAAATGTTATAGTTTGTTAGATGAAATTGTAATTATTGTAAATTTGAATTATAAAACTTTGTATTAGAAGCTTTTGCATAAAAAAATATTGAGCACCGCAGTTCTAGTATAAATTTTCAAGTTGTAGTATGATGTTTGCATGAACGATTGAATAAAATTTGGTAAAACGGACTGCACTTAATTTATAAATAGCACAATGATACATACCTAGTCCTATATTTGAAACCCTAAGGCCAGATTTTCCTAAATTTTTGTATCGTAAACCAGGAGTAGAGGCACCTTGTCGAAGTGGACCCGTATTTGAACCCAAGGATATGGAGCGCCCTGTAACAAACATAAAAATATAAAAATTAAAAATATTATTAACAAAATAATTTAATAAAGAATATATATTAAACTAATTGATATAAAGAATATTTAGAGTAGGTACTTGTAACTACTAACAAATATAATTTAATATAAAAATTACTGTTACCGTCATAAGTCTTTTCAATTGCATTTTATTGATAAAAGTTATACAAAATTAAATATAACTAAAAAAATGAGACAAAATATTCAAACCAGCAATTTCTATTTGATTTGATTGCGTTTTTCACCACAAAAACAATTTGGAAATCGTCTTGAATGATTTTATTGCGATCACGATAATTCAGTATTTTCAAAAACCTTTATTCAAATTTAATTTTAATATCAGTAAATAGTTTTTAATATTGAAACTAAATAGTAAAATACCCCTTAATATTTCGTATTAGACTGATGAATAAAAATGACAATGATTAGATAAATATACAGCAGTTAATTGTATAAACAGGATAGTCATTTGAGTAAAATTTGTATAATAGGATATAAATAATATATATGTACACATATAAATATGATTATTAATGGCAAGATTAATTTCATTTACTTGAACAATTTATAAAAATAATATGATGGAATTATTTGTTCAAAGTAGTATTGGTAAGCCTTTAAAAGCAAGAATAGTTTATAATTCTTTATTTTGAACTACCTTGTAATGACAACAAGAAATATGCTAATAAAAATGCATTTCTATAAATTGGCATGTGAAAATCATTAGTTGAACGACATTTTATTTTTTTTACAAATTGATTATTATTCTTGAACTCAAAGAACCGTCTTGAAAAATAATTTTTCAGATTCCAGAGAAATTGTTCAATAATTGAACTATTAACAGCTTTTCAAAATTAAGCAAAACATAGAAAAGGTGTGAAGCTGAATTCGTTTGGCCATTATAAGACTTATTACTTAATATTATACATTATATAATATTACCGGCTACCAATATACATTTTTTATACTTGTTCACTGTACTAAAACGATCTTTTATTATATAGAATTGATAAATTGTAGATACAGTTTTTGTAAATGGAGCAATACAACCTTTGTAATCATAAAGCGAACAAATAAATTCTGGTTGAGGTTCATTGTATTTTCTTCATTTAAATCTGTATTTTAAATTGTCTAAAAAATTAGGAACATAGGTTCTCAAACTTGTTTGTGTCGTTGACCCGTTAGACTTTTCCATAAACCCGCTATTTAGCCGATTCCAATTTTTTAAAAAAAATATATTTGTACTAACTTTTCGTACTAAACATTCGAAGTAAAGGTAATCCAAGTTAAGATATTTATTAATTGACTTCATAATAATAATAAAAAGATATTAAAGAGGTTTGTTGTGATCCACAATCATGGATTTCCATAATTCCTTTTCGTTGACGTGAACCCCTTGAAAATTGTCATGGACTCCCGTGGGAATCACTTAGCACAAGAGTGATATTGGGATACGCGTTTCTTTATAATATTTACACTTTTTTTAAAAAAAATTAAACATTAGCTTGATAAAACTATAATTTGATACTGTTCTTCAAATATGGCATTATAAACTTTCTAGTGGAATCATAAATAAAACTATCATTTTTCGAACATCAAATAACCACAGTAAGTAATGCATTATCTTATAGTAGTCTTTACAACGGTTCATAAGATCTTCCATAAAAAAGGAAGAAACTAATATACTGTTTGTTTTAGTAGTAGGTACATCAAATATATATAACGTATCGTATTCCAAGTTTAAAAAGTTCGATGCGCTCACTCACCCAGTTCAAGCGCGGCGCCCGTTCCGCTGAACTCCTCCATGCAGTCCAGCGAAGCGATGGGAGCCCGACAACTGAAAGAAGAACAGAATCCTTTATAATAAATTCAACATTGTACAATTTAATAACACATAAATGTAGTCGGACTTTATTATCGCACAACACATAAAATTGAGCAATATAACTTTCATATAAAATGCCAAGCGTGGAATATTTCTTAAACGCTATTTGATGTGACAATGTGCTGTTTAAATGTTTTCCATCAGTGTAATAAAAAGTCATAAATGTAAAATTGCTTATAAAAACGTAATCATAATAAAACCTTTTAAACGTATAATGCTAGAATAGATTTTTGTCAAAATTTGATAAATGAACATTTTTTTGAATGCTTCTCATACTGTACTAACATCCAGGTTGGATTTACAATAGGGGCGGCAATCGGGGATAGTGCCCAGGGCGGCAATTTTTTTGGGGCGGCAAAATTTGTAAAAAAAATAGAATATGTATGTAATAATAGAACAAGTATGTAGTAATCCATGATGAATTTTTTGCAAGCAAATAGTTATTTTAACCCTTTCCACTCGCCGGAGCGGTGGCATTCAAGTGGAAAGAGTCACTTTTAGAAAAATGAGTTAAAAAATGGGGCGGCATTTTCGTCAGTGCACCAGGACGCCAAATTTCTAAATCCGGCTCTGCTAACATCCAATATATATTTTTTATAGCAATAGATTTCGAAATCTAACATAATTAAACCACTTTTCATAGGCCTATAATATTTTATAGGGTTCTATTTGACAATCAACTCAATCACCAAATCAAAGTGTCATCAAAATCCCAGAAGAGTAAACCTGAGTGTTCCCTTGTGAAACAATTATCATATAATGTATCAAAATTTATTTTTAAAGTCATTTTTGTAGTAATAAAAATCATAGAAGTTGGTGAAGCTTGTATAGTATAAAATACTATAAAATACTCAATACAAATTGAGATAAGAAATTCAGTTTCTTTTAATACTTATGAAAATAGAGAGACTCGTTCACACCCATATTATATATATATATAGATATATAATATTATATGTTTGACATACATTTATAAAATTATTTATTTTCGATCATCTATATAAACATAAGACATTAAATCAAATATTCCATAATAAAACAAAATTGATCTAAGAACTATATCCAGGTATCAATTTACAGGGATGGTAGAATAAAAAAGGATAAGAATGAAAAAGATATTTTAAATTAAAATTTAAAATTATTAATATAAATAGAAATGTAAACAAAATTTGTATTTATTATCAAAATCTCTATAAAATATCTGATACTTTGATGCGCGTATGCCTAATTATCGATTATTTTCAATTCTCTATTTAAATGTTTTTTTTTTTACTTTTTTTATTGGATGAAAATATTCAATGTTAAATTTATTTTAATAAATTATATCGTTAGGTTATTTAATATTTATATGTCATCCTATACAAACTTCTTTTCATTATAATTTTTAGTTCTTTTTTTCGTCAATACAAGTAAAATGGACGCTGCGTTCTCTCAAAAAGTAAATTACCATTTTTGGCATTTTTCTTTGAAACTAATCAGAACGTCTTTTCATCAATAGGGTTCAAATGTTTTGTGAATCATTCAAATCGTTTGACCCCGTGGACGAAAAATTGTATCCGCACATACGTACACATATGCACATATACATATGTACATACATACATATACGCACACAAAATGTTCAAAGGCTTCGAAACGTAAAGATACACAAAAATGTTAATTTTTGATTTTTTGCGATTACTGTAACTTACCCTACGAAAGGTTAAAAAAACAAAATATGTCATTAGATTTTTTTCTAATTCTTCTGTTATGAGTTCTTTCTAACAACTTTCTGGATAGATAATTATAATGATCAGCAAGTCTGTATTTATATGATATCATTTCTAATGAAGTATATAATTTTTAAACATATATATTATTGTTATTTCTACATATTTTATAAATTTTATAAATAAATTTAATATATTGTTATTTCGACTTTATGTAAACCCTATTCAGTTGGGTAAACTACTGGTAAGCCAAACTGAATCAATAAAAAGGCGCCGAAAGGTGCGCGGTGTACTATACAATATTTATAAAATTGAATTAAGATAGAAATAATATAATGATATAGAATTTGTGTACTAAATTGACTGAACTTCATTGTAACAAACGATTGTATAAAACTGAAAACTATAATCTATAAATGAATTTTTAAATTGTCAATCAAATTATTGAAAATTAGAATGAAAAGAAGTTGGTATAAGATGATATATAAATATTAAATAACTTGAAATTATAATTCATAAAATAAATTTAACATTGAATAAACAAATCAATTGTATTAATGCATGATATATTTTTGCCCTATTAAATTTTTCTCTAAAAGGCCAGTTATGGTTAGAGTTTGAATAAAATACTGATTTAATTAAATATAATAAGATGTTGGAGTTATAAATAGAAAACATACTAAAGTTGAAATATTCCACTATAATGGAAAACTGCAGGATGGAGTAATTGGTTGCAACTGTTCTGAATGCAAATCTGATCGCATTTTGTATACATAGAAATGTCAGCTTTATATTGTCAAGCTGAAGAGAATTCAATTCAATGATTCAATGAATAACATTAGCAAAGAGTAACATTGCAAACTCATAACAAAATAGTGTATATAGGATATAAAATATTACAGAAGAATTTCTAACAATTGTTAAGAGATAAAATTTATTGTCAAAAATGTTTTTATTAAAACACTTAAAATCTTGTCATCTAACAGCGAGCTTCTATCTTATTTTATTTGCATTCTAGCTTAAATCTTGACAATTGACACTATTTTAGGATGTATCAGAAATTTGATAAAATATTAATTTTGCCAACATGGTTTTATTTGATATTTTGCATCTTGATGCTCATAGGTTACGATAAAGACCGTCTTTATTTTTTTCTTTCAACCGAAATTCTGATTGAATTTTGAACCTTAAAATATTTAAATTATTTCCGACTTCAAAAACCACATTTAATAAACGGTACACAACAAACTTCGTTAATAAATATGGTTATAAATAAATTCATTTCTTTGGCATATGATTTTATATAATTTGTCATATGCTTTCACTTACTATATAATTATAGGCAAATAGAGTTATCAACCAAAACTTTACGATCCACTTTATAATAGCAAGTTACACTTTTTGCACTATTTTCTTAAATAAATTTAACTCAAATGTTTTATGTATCTGCTATGATGAGAAACAACCAACTGAATAAAAACAAAAGTACAACAAAACGCCAGAACATATTCTATGAATAAAAAAGTTCGTAATCAATATAGAGTGGCTTTATCAAAACCATAATCTTTTATTCCTACAATAGTGAATAGTGTATATAATTTTGAATCGATTTGTACCTTAACATGCCATTCGATGAAAATATCTTTTGTACTAATAATATATAATGGATGAACTTACAAATCTAGTACTACGAACGAATGTACTGAAAAAAAACAAATATTATATTTTCTTGATAGTGATGATAAATGATCAATGAAAATGAGAAATGAGAAAGCTATTTAATTCACTCGAATCGAAAATTGAAAATTGGATAATTGTTTATATACTTCTCATAGATAAAAATCATATAAAATCCGAATCCTATTACTCCAACCCCGAAATCAATTCAAAATAGTTGGATAAATATCTACATTAAAATTTCTTGGAAAACATATTGTCTGAAAAATTAATGTGATGTTAATTATTAGCTATCTAAGATTTATTTAAACAAATTATTTCAAAAACTCTAGAAATTAATTTGTCACTGACTAACAATTCAATCAAAATGCTTTCTTAATGCTTTTCTGAAAAAAAAAAACACAAAACCACCAAGCTTTTGCATTGCACTATATTGTGTTACTAATAATTGATTTGTATTTTTCAGTAAACTCTTCTATAAGACTCATCTAGTAATCTTTTTTTGCATTTTCTGCGCTTTTTGCCTCATAAATAATAAAGAAATGCTTTTCAAAATCATTCAAATCGGTTAATCCAAGATTTCGAAACGCAAATTTGTATCCGAATCTACACATACACATACTGACATACACACACATACATTCATTGTTTCTAAGGTATGGCAAAATGTGCAGGAGGCTTTGAAACTTTAAAGCTTTTTGCGAATACCTGATATAATATTACGTTAATATATTAGTAAAAGCGAAATATATAACTAAATGCAATCATATAGAAGGGAATAAATTCAAAAAGTTAAAATTATACTTTTAATTATGTAAAATGTAATATGGAACATAGATGTTTGACCACGAACTGTCACCACCGAATTTCCAAAATCATTTTCACTATAATTGTGTAATTGGTAACAAAATAACATTTATGATTTATATAATTATAAAGCATAAAGCATAAATTATTATGCCATATATTTACGATATTTGCATATCTATAATTACACAAAATAACAATAGCTCAAATTAACAAAAAACAATAGCTCAAATCAATATGCAAATATACTTGTAATAAATTACCGATATATTGTTGTGACGGGGTTAGAATCCTCACTTGTATTATCTGCATTATTGTTATTATCATTTGCAGTTGTATTACACATAACAACAGCCATCTTGTAGAAACCTTAATTAATATTCTAATTTATTCTAATTTAATTGCACTCGAGTATATTATACTTAAATTTACTTTAGCGGCGTGAAAGCTTCTGATGTGTCGAACTAATTTGGGAGCGTTGGTTTGAGAGGTACTTAAAATTAATTAAATTTCGTTTGGCTGCATACGTAATATTTATTTAAGGGCAATGTTTACATTATAACTTTTTCAAAGAACACAATTTAACTTAGGGACACCTATGTTTCGACGTATTCACAAGCACTGAGATATGTAGCGCGTGTTTATCCGGAAACTCCTTCGCTATAAGTTCAATATCATTTTATTGGTTATAAATCTCTTCGCGCACTCAAAGTGGCATGATATACGGATCCGGGTACACATATTAGGATACACATACAC